ACTCATTAGAGAAACTGCTTAATAGCCATCATCCTCATATTTAGATCTCTTGCACAAAATTGACAGGCACACATTTTCCCTCTGCTCATGTGATTAATTGTCTTCCCCAATTAACTAGAAGCCCTGTAAGGTCTTGGGTTGTCCCTGATCCTATTTCCTTGTTTATTTTGAAAATATAACACATGCATATGTTATATTTAAACAGTATAAAACATTAAACAATGAAAACTAAGTCTCTGACTGACTTCCTTAATTCAGCTCTCCAAATGAAAGTCAGTTTCACTGTTACCTGTTTCTTGGGTATCTTTCCTGAGCCTGACCGGCTGTCTTCCTGAGCCTCCCTCCCTTGCTCGCTCTCTCCCTCCCTCCCTTCCTGTGTGTCTGTGCATATCTCCCTGCTGAAAGTACAAATGGTGGCCATACTACATATCCTGCACTTTGGTATTCCCCCCAGTTAATGCATCTTGTAGATCTTGCCTATATGTCAGTACATAGAAATGTGTGTTGTTTTTTAATTGCCCCATAGTGTTTCACTATGTAGGAGCAGAGCCTGACCAGTGTGGGCCCTTCCCAAGAGGAGGGAGAGAGCCCGGACCACCCACACCAGCTCCTCTTATACTCATTGGCGACCTGCCCATTCTACTTCGCTGGGAGAGAGTGAGGGGAGGCAGTGCTAGGGATGTTTTGCTACTGGGCATCTAGGAAGCATCAGGAATGGCAAAGACATGTTGTCCCATAACAAGCAAGTATGGTCAAATGAACAAATAAGTGGCCTCTACCACCCTTCTGGGACCTATCATGACAGGCTGACGAGGAGTAGGACCTAATTCTACCTGGGACCTACCGCATCCCAAGTCCCCGCCCTAGCCCCACCCTCCCCTGTTCTTAATTCCAGCTCCAGTCTGTGCAAGACTTGCCCTTTAATTTCCATTCCAGACCAGTCTCTTGCCAGACCTCTGAAGAATTCAGTCTGCTAGTTCTAACCAACAGTTTTCAGAGGGACCTTTGTTGTACTGTGAACTTCCTTGTTTCATGTCATGAATCTGCCTTCTAGGAAGGGTGGCACGGCAGCGTGAGTATGAGTTTGCTTTATGGAAAAGTTTAGCATTTATTTAGTAGCTCCATATTGAAAAGCACCTCCCAGGTGCCAGACACTGTGCTGGGATGAGTCAGCCTGGACCTTCCCATGGTCTGAGTGGGAGGGCGTGAATCCAGGCTCATTGTTCTGGGGGGAAGCCCCAGGACCTACACAGGCACATGGGAGGGGCAGGTTTGGGAAGCTAAGGCCAGAGGTCTTTCATCTGTTTGGGGAGAGCCAGTGGTCTCAGAAATTTTCATTCTGTGTTTCTGGTTACACTTTAACGAAGGAAAATGGCATAATCCTGAGTTAGGCTAAGAAGTATCCATGTCTGGAAGACCAATTAAGCTGGGACAGGGCCTGGGGAGCAGAAACCCCCCAATAGGTGCTTTCTGGGGTACTGCCCTAGGAACCTCTGCCAAGCTCTGCAGGTCTCAGGACTTTTTAGAGCAGCCAGCCAGCCTTTCCTGGCCTGTTGCATGGGAAATGGCTCCGGGTAGCCCTGTAACAAGGGTAGCCGTCCAGGTTTGGTCTGTGGCTGTCGGCATAGGGACTGTCTCCTCTATCCCACCTTTCAGGTGGACAGTGACATCAGCACACAAAAGGCTCTGAGAAGCCAGTCACTAAAGAAACTTACAGAAATGTAGCCCCCGTTTTCCTAACAGTTTGCCTGTGGAATCCTTGCAACCATAGCTGCATGTATCGCTTCTTCAGCTCTTGTCTTGAAATTGCTGTGGAGGAGGGGTGGTCAGTCACCATGAAAACATCCAGGACCTCTCCTTTCACCCTAACCCTCTACTTCTGTGGATGGGGTTTTGGTTTTGGTTTGGACTCAGACTCTTCTTTGTGTTGGTTGAGCGCCACCTGTTGGCTATTGAGATATTACAGAAGTCGGGGGAGGGGGGGAGGGCGGTGAGTAATAGCAGTTTGTGCTGAAATCTGGC